GGAGACGTAACAGTATGATATGCATAAAAATGGTAGAATGCAAGCTTTAATTTAGAATATAAAATCATCAAATAATTATAGTCACTTGACCTCATTAGAAAGCTAGTATATGTAGATTTTATATGATAAATATTGGATTCAGGTGTATCATTCCATTTTTAGTATGTTTGTTTGTTTGTGTATATATATATTCTCCCATATAACAATGTAACTAAAATTGTTATTTGAAATACATAATCAAATGTAGGATAATATTGTATACATTCTACATTGTGTATTTGTAGTTACTGACACAAAGCATGTAAATGGTATGAAACTTGTAAACATTGCACTGTATATTTGAGATATTTAAGATTTGAAGGTGACAGTAGTGTAATAGTGTGCCAGAAACTTGTAAACATTGCACTGTATATTTGAGATATTTAAGATTTGAAGGTGACAGTAGTGTAATAATGTGCCAGATTTTATTCATGAAACCTTGGAATGTAAAGTCATTACAAACAGGTTCCCTGATGTTTATAAATGTGGGTTATCCTGGTCTATAATATCGCAAGACTTGAACCCACACACTGTACAGGAGGTTAAGAATACAGCAACTCGGAAGGTGCATGGAATTTCCAAGGACACAATTCACAGTACTGTCAAAGCACAACAAGTATACTAAACATGTCATTCACATTCCATTGAATGCCCAAAATGTGTAGTGCAATCCTGCCAAGTTTGTGCTCATCATGTGGCAGAATTATTACAAATAGAAAATAAAATGTATAAACTAACCTTTCTTGATTCTTGATAAATATTTAATAGTAATTTCACACAAACTTCTGCTTAAATCAAGTACATAATCTGAATTCGTTATATGTATTGCATTGGTCTTATTTTCTTTCAGTAAAAGTTTAATGATTGTCACAGTTAACTACATTTACTTTATTTGTGTGGTGTGTGTTTTCAACATTGTTTAATAGTTTTATAATTGAATGATTCACATTTATAGATCACTTAACAAATAGAAAGAAGAAAAATCTTATGTGATTGAATTTGTTTTTTCACTACTAATGGAATTAAAGGAGTATTTAACTTCAATTTTTGTTAGATATTAATTATTTTTCTAGAAATGTAGTGAGTTCTTTATGATTCCTAGAATGCAAAAATGATGTATGAGTTTTTGTATTGATTAAAAGCATCATAAATGGACAGTCTTGGATCCCCACACATCTGTACTTGACTTGCTTGAAAGCTGTGAACAAAGAATAGATGATCTCTTACTTGAGTTACAAGATTATGATTCAGATGCTTATGCACTGATCAGCCAGGTTAAGCAGGATGAGGTGAGTGGAAATTGAATGATAGTATAGAAGCATAAATAATTTTCAGTGTTTGGTTTACATAAATAATTGAATATTAGTATTAAATATTATTATTAACTTGCAGCAAATAATAAAAAGTGATGTTTGTTTTTCTTGAGACAATTCATTTCACAGAATTATAGAGTGAGGCTAGTGAGATAAAAAGGAGTATGAAGTGTTGAATAAGCAATAGATGAACATCATGTGAAAATGAAAATGTGGCTATAGGAGTAATTAATTAATTAATGTTGTGTTTGCTTTTGCTAGGATCTGTTCATGTGCTTAAGTTCTCTCTGAATTTGCTATTTAACGTAATCGCTAAGAGCATACAAAATGAAACACTCTTTTAAGAATAAAATAAGAAAAGGACTTAAGACAACATATAAACTAAATAAGAATTAAAGAATACTTAGTTTATTATTTTACAACTTATTATTCAGTCTAAGGATGTGATTTGATGTGTTTAACTTTCTTTATTTCTATTTTTCTACAAATAGAATTTAACGAAGTAATTTTGGGAACCTATTTACTCTGCTTTATTTCTTGTTATGGGTGTTATCAATACTCACACATTTGAGTGAAGTATTTTTTTACAGGCTTTTTGTCAATTTTAGAAGAATGTTTAAATTATAAACAGATTTTATTGAAATGAACTTGACTAAGATGTATGAACTGCTCTACACAACTTTTAAAGTAAAAACTGACTTTATTCTCTGTAAGTTTTCCTTGTCTTCCTCGAGTCTCATTGAAACATTAGAAAACCAGATGAATGTAAAATTTTGGTTTTGTACAAACATTTTCAAAAACCAACCTTTATTTATTTAGATTGAATTGTTAAACAAGTTAGTTCTATTTTATTTTTAGTTTCAGCAGAAGTTGGAGAACACTTCCATTCCAACAACTACACTGTATCTACCAAGGAAACCTTCTATTGGTGAGTAAATTTTTAAATGTTTCTTAGAAACTGTTTAATGAATGATTGTTATGACAATAAAAAGAATTTATGAAAAAACAAATTCTGTTTTTAACAAAATTAAAATTATACATAAAACATGCAATAATATGTGATTAGACATGTAGAAATATATATATATATATATAGTTATTCAGATGTCAGTATAAGATAGTTGGCTTTGTATTCTTTGCAACTATTTTAGATATGGCGTAAGAAAAGCTGTCAGGATGAGCAGTTGTTTGTTAGTGACTTAGCCCTGATAGCTCATTGGTAAGAGCACTGGTCTCAAAACATTAATGTAAGCCAAAGATTCCGGGTTATAGCCCCAGTCAGGGCAGCTTTCTTAACCAGTGTAATGTATCAGGATGTTAAGAATATATCAAGAATAGGGCTAGAACTTGATACCCTCAGCTCACACTAGTGTTATGATACTGATCTTCTTACTAACTGAGGTACCAGGACTCACGTCCTAAGCATAAAACTCACCATTCTGGTAGTTATAACATTGCATGCTTCTTACCAATACATCTCAGCAATTATATAAACACCACTCCTCATTTCATTATAGGAAGTAGAAGTCCTACAGAGAGCTAAATTTCTAATTTTCTTTTTTAATTGGAGTATTATTAAGTTTTTCAAATATAATTTATTGAAGTGACTTGTATTGGTCCAAGTAATAAGTAGCTGTAGTCTTCAGTAATGCTAATGCTCCATCTAACTGTCAATGAGCAATTATCTTTTTACATTCTATGAACTTTGTTCAGACAGTGATATAGCAAGAAAAAACAACATGAGATGCATTACTGCTGTATTAAAGGGTATCAAGAAACAAAAAATAATAAGCATGTTATAGAAAAATGTGTTTTTTTCTGTGGTTTAGGATGTTGACTATCCATTGCCAAAATTTAATTGAATATGTAAAACATTTTGTTGTAATGGTATAATCAATATTATGCACTTCCAAGTTACATATTTTAGTTTAAATTGTACAGAACTTCATAAAACTTAAGTTTAAGATTACATAAGATATTTTGTAGGACACTATGTACTCTTTCTATACAAACTCGTTCCAATGATTTAATGATAGAAATTTTGAAAGTTTTGTTTAAGGCTGAATAAGATTACATGTACCCAAAGTTTCATGTTAAACCACTATGATTAGTTAAAAATTAAACTCCAGCATGAGCTGTTGACATTTTATGTACAATTAGAGAAACTACTGAAATTCATTATAACTTACTGTCTTCTGTGTTTACTTCCAATTTATTTAGAGCATTTATTCTTAAAAAACTTTGCTATTCCATTTAACTCTTTCAATATGGGGTTGGTCAGTGTGACAACCTTGTAACCATTTTGCGCTTGTTATAGTTTTCATGCTATAGCTTTTAAATTAGTAAGCGAATGTTAACGAAATTTGGTAGTTTATCAGTAAACATTACAGTGCTTTAATATGCAAAATATCTAATTTTTTTTATTGAGTCTTAAGGTTTGTAAAGCAATGTTTCTCCCATGCCTTTTTTATTTAACATCTTGCCTATCTATCATGCAAAGTAATTTTCATCTTAAGAATAAAAATACTTTTATGCATCAGAAAATTTTGAAATTTCACATGTGAAATCTTTATAATGTCCAGATACTTATCAAATGTTTCTTAAGAAAAACTTTATATATTATCTTTATTTTCAGTAATTAACCTCTGTACAGGTTTGGTAAATTTG